CCCAAAGTGTTAGGATTACTGGCGTGAGCCACCATGCCCAGCTAATTTTTGTATTTTTAGTAGAGACAGGGTTTCACCATGTTGGCCAGGCTGGTCTCGAACTCCTGACCTTGCGATCTGCCCACCTTGGCGTCCCAAAGTGTTAGGATTACTGGCGTGAGCTACCACACCTGGCCTCCTTCCTTTCTTTCGAGACAGTCTCACTATCACCCAGGCTGGAATGCAATGGTGCCATCTTGGCTCACTGCAACCTCCACCTCGCAGGTTCAAGTGATTCTTGTGTCTCGGCCTCCCAAGTAGCTGGGATTACAGGTGCCCACCACCACGCCTGGCTAATTTTTGAATTTTTGTTAGAGACGGCATTTTGCCACATTGACTAGGTTGATCTCGAACCCCTGACCTCAAGTGATCCGCCTGCCTCAGCCTCCCAAAGTGCTGGGATTACAGGCATGAGCCACCGCACCTGGCCAACATGACCTAAGTTGGGTTTTAAATATATCATGTTATGCTGAATAAACCCAGAGTCCTTACACTGGCCTAGAGTGACCCACTGCTGTCTCTCTACCTTCATCTGTTCACTCTTCCCCTCCTCTTCACCAGCCACATACCTTCTTGCAATTCCTTGAATATGCCAGGACACCCCTACTTCAAGGCATTCGTTTGGTATAGCCAGCTACTAGCTTGGCTCATTCCCGCAGCTCCTTTAGGTCTTTACTCAATGTCACCTCGTTGAGGCCTTCCCTGACCACCCTTTTCAAAATTGCAGTGTCCCTGCCTGCCCTCCCTATGTCTTGGCATTCTCTGTACTCCTTTTGTGTCTTATGTTTCTGACTTACTGCCATTCTACTTAATTTAACTGTCTCTGCTTCTCCCCTTCCCCTAAAGGAATATAAGTTCCATGAGGACAGGAGTTTTAAAATTTGTTTTGTTTACTGCTATGTCACCACCATCTAGGACTGTGCCTGGCACAGGAAAGGTACCTAGGGATTGTTTTGGAAAGAATGAAGTGATTCTGCTGGGTGGCAATATGGGTTACTGTCTGTAAAAGGCAAAAATTTCCACGGGAAGTATAAAAATGCTATTTTTATGGATCTAATAATGATTCAAAATATTTTAGGTGTGATATATGTAGGAAAGTTACGTCCTAAAACTTTGTTAGTACAGAAATACAGAAGCCTGTTGCCTATTATAAAGACCTTGTTCGTGGTTACATCATTCTTGCCTTTGGGTTTCTCAAAGTGTGTTCAAGAGGTGCCTTGGATATCATTGCAGGTATGGTGTCAGTTGTGGAGCTGAAACAGAGTTCAGTAATGCAACGATTGCTTACAGGCTGGATGCCAACAGCCATCAGGTGAGTGGTGTCTGGTAGGTAAATCAAAGGGCCCAAGAATTTAATCTTTTTGTACTGGTCGGCAGTTATTGTTTCCAGTCTTATTCCAAGGCAAACATTATACTGGAAAGGAGAACAGTCAGAATAAAATCAAATTCCATCTGAGGAAAGCCATACTCCCAAGTCCATTTCGTCTGCAATTGGATGCATTGACAGCATAAAGCAGCCTACTGTTTATATTCTCAGAATACCCAGTTTGGTGCTCTGCCCTGACTTACCCAAATCGAGTTTCGTGTAAAATTATCAGAAGTAGAAAGTTTTTGATGGTTAAAGGAAAACAATACAAAAGGAAACAGTCTTCCATTGTTATGTAGAGCCTTTTAAATTTTATTGTAGTAATTGGTGATAAACCAAATAGAAATGTAGTTGTCTTATACTAGCATATAAGCTCTTGGTCCTTCTGCTAAGAGTGTACATTTATAATTCTATTATATTTCTTGAATTGCAAATTCTAATGATGAGATACTTTGCAGCAGTAAAACTCTAAAACTGGGTCTTATGTTTTAGGGGTGACCAGTCGCCTTCAGATCGTCCCCTCAGTCTTGCTGTTCATTGTGTGGAGCATGATGCCTTCATCTTTGCTCTGTGTCAGGATCATAAACTACGAATGTGGTCTTACAAGGTAAGTGCTACATTTATAGTTGCTGTAAGTTAAAATAGCATTGTGAATCATGAGAATTGAAATAAATTTTGCTGTTTCTCTTAAAGATGATCAGATGAATTAGTTTGGAAATTATTGGTCACTTCCAGATTCAGACAGTTTCATTTAGCTTTATTTTGCATATATTTCCTCCTTATTGTCTTTTTATTTGGAAAAATTATCAATCTTACAGGAACACTGAAAGAGTAGTACAAAGTATACATTTCACTATTTTTTCTTTTTTTAAAATTTTTATTTTTTGAGACAGTCTTACTTTGTCACCCAGGCTGGAGTACAGTGGCATGAATGCAGCTCACTGCAGCCTCCGCCTCCCGGGCTCAAGCTATTCGCCACCTCAGCTGCTCAAGTAACTAGGACTACAGGCTCATGCTACCACAGCTGGCTAATTTTTGTATTTTTTGTAGAGACCGGGTTTTGCCATGTTACCCAGGCTGGATGTTTCATTTAAGAGCAACAAATATGTTTTAAAAATGTAAGTTGGTAAAATGATTTTCAAGATTCATCTAAAAAAATACAGCTTATATTTTATATGAGTCTGATCTTATATTTCAGACTGAAGAGATGTTCTACATGTTAGCCTCCCGCCCCCCACCCTCCCCTGAAACAGTCTTGCTCTGTCACTCAGGCTGGAATGCAATGGCGCAATCTCACCTCACTGCAACCTCCACCTCCGAGGTTCAAGTGATTCTCCTGCCTCAGCTTCCCAAGTAGCTGGGATAACAGGCATGCACCACTGCACCTGGCTAATTTTTGTATTTTTTAGTAGAGATGGGGTTTCACCATATTGGCGAGGCTGGTCTTGAACTCCTGACCTCAGGTTATCCACCCACCTAGGCCTCCCAAAGTGCCGGGATTACAGAAGTGAGCCACTGCGCCCGGCCCGTGTTAGCCCTTTTAAAACAAAAACCTGTAAGGTCTTTTAGCAGATAAACTAGATAGAGTGGTAGATATAATGAAAGGTCCATCCTTTCAAAAGGTACGTTCTTCTAGCCTGAATATCCCTTGAATATCACCTATTAACTGTTTTCCTGGACAGGAGCAAATGTGCCTGATGGTAGCTGACATGCTGGAATATGTCCCTGTGAAGAAAGACCTTCGGCTCACTGCTGGAACTGGACACAAATTACGGCTTGCTTATTCCCCTGCCATGGGACTCTACATAGGGATATACATGCATGCACCAAAACAAGGACAGGTATGAAACACATAAGACACATACCAAGTTATTCTGTGTGTACTGATGTGGAGAAATGGCTGTAGACTCAGTGAGTCTGTTCAAGCTCTTTTCACCGACCTAGATGTGTTTCTGAGGTGTTGGTTGGGTTTGTGCTACTGTGTGAATTAGAAGATCTTGAAGGAAGGGTCAGTGTGAAAGGAAGTAGAGAGTTTAAAGTAATATGAAAGGAAAAGTTAACCAAAACTAAACAAGAAGAGCAAATTAGGAAGTCTAGGTGAAAAACACAGAATTCCTGAAAGGATGTAGGTGTTAAGTCGTTATGGTTAAGTTAATTTTTCTAAATAAATTTGCTTAGCATCCAGACAGTAGCCGCTGTCTGTAGATGAGATATGTAGGATGTGAGGTAATAGTGTAATCATTTAGTAAACAGCCATTTGTTGAGTATTCTGTGTTTGGTGCTGCGCCAGGCCCTTTATGGCCATTAATAATAGCAAACGCTGGGATTGTGCTTACTCTGGGCTCATATGCTATATGCGTTTTATCCATTTAATCCTAATAACAGCTCAGTGAGGTAGCCTCTGTCTCCATTACTATGCAGGGGCTCTGATTCCCCCACTGAGTCCCCATGCTAGGTCACTTCCCTTACCGGATGCCCTTCTCACTTCTGTTGGGCTCTCATAGCCCACTCCACACTGCTCCTCCAATGTGGATGTCCTCCTTACCCTGTTTGGGCCCTGAGACCACGAGACTGCCCCCATGCAGTGGACCTCCTCCTCACCCAACCTGAGTTTCCACCCTGCACCAAGCTTTCTGTCCACGTGGAAGCCTTCTCAAACCGTTCCTGCTCCTCCCCCCAAAGTCAGGCAGTCCCAAATGTGGACACTCTTCTAGGCTCTTGCCTCATCACACCCGGCCATATCACCCCTGCACACATGCCCTTCCCACTGTATTAGTGTTCTCACTCCTGTGCTGGGACATGCCTGCACCGATGTTCCCTTCTGCCTGTTCAGAGTGAAGAACAACCCCCTTATGCCGAAGCCCAACCCCCTCAGGTCCCCGACCCTTACCTTCTGGCCAGCAAGGATATCTACCTTGCTCTAGGTACCTATTGGTTTTTGGACTGGATTGCTCAGGAACAGAATGGAAGGGAAGAGGAAGAGCTCATTCTTGCAATTTTTTCCTAATATTGTGGCCCAAAAGTATCATTCTATCAAGACATTTCTCTTGATTGCACATAATTGTTCTATTCTCTCTTCTGGAGGACAACCCTTGAACTGTTTGAACATACCTATCTATCTCCCCTAAGTATGCTCTTCTCTATGTAGGTTGTAGGTGGTAGGAGAATTGACCCCGCTCTAACTTCCTTAGTTCCTTCCGTTGTTACTCATGTAACATCCTGTTAATCAGTCTCCTCGACATGTTATTAGTTTGTCAAACTAAAATAGTGGTTCTCAAACTTTTGGTCTCAGGACCCTATTACACTCTTACCGAGAACTGCAAAGAGCTTTTGTTTATGTGGGTTATATCTGTGGATATTTACCTTATTAGAAATTAAAACTGACTGGATGTGGGTTGGCACATTTTATTATGCAATACCTAAATTACTGTTTTGGGGGGTAATTCCAAGACCACCTCACCTCCATGTCCAGTAATATTCTGAAAGGACTCATAGGGCTCAGTATGTAGTTGTGCTGACAGCTAAGATGTATTACAGTGAAAAGATACAAAGCAAAGTCAGTAAAGGGAAAAGGCACATGGAGTGAAGTCTGAGGCCAGACTCAATTGTCGAAGAGTCCTCTCCCAGTAGAGTCTCACAGGACGTGCTTAACTCTTCCAGCACTCAATTGTGATGACATGTGTAAAATGTTGTTTCCCAGGAAAGCTCGCTAGAGGCACAGAGCCCAAGATTGTTATTGGGGACTGGTCATATAGGGACCCTCTGCCTAGCATGTACCAAATTTCCAGTCTCCTGGAAGGGAAACAACAAATATTCTGCATAAACTGCATTGTTTGTGCAAACAGTCTAGGCACAGTAAACCATTCTTACCAGTTAGGGAACCATGGGAACACTGCCAGCTTTGCAAGCAAGCCTTTCTTTTCCTTTTCTTTTTTTTTTTTTTTTTTTTTTGAGACGGAGTCTTGCTCTGTCGCCTAGGCTGGAGTGCAGTGGTGCGATCTCAGCTCACTGCAACCTCCTCCTCCCGGGTTCAAGCAATTCTCCTGACTCAGCCTCCCAAGTAGCTGGGACTACAGGTGCCCGCCACCGCACCCAGCTAATTTTTGCATTTTTAGTATGCACGGGGTTTCACAGTGTTGGCCAGGCTGGTCTTGAACTCCTGACCTTGTGATCTGCCCGCCTCGGCCTCCCAGAGTACAAGTAAGCCTTTCTAAGGAGAGCAGCCTCAGGCCTGCTATGTTAACCCTTTCTGCACAATTATTATCATTGATGATCTCTCAGAGGAGCCTTTTAAATATTGAGAAGTTCTGGAGTTCATGTTAGTGGATTCAAAGTTTTCTGAAATTATACTTTTCACTTTGAAACTTGAAATGTATCATTGGCAACAAATACCCTCATTTGTTTTCCCTGAGATGACAGGTTCACTTTATTCATTTTTTTTTCTTTTGTGATGGAGTTTCGTGCTCTTGTCACCCAGGCTGGAGTGCAGTGGTATGACCTCAACTCACTGCAACCTCTGCCTCCCGGGTTCAAGCGATTCTCCTGCGTCAGCCTCCGGAGTAGCTGGGATTACAGGTACCTGCCACCATGCTGGCTAATTTTTTGTATTTTTAATAGAGTTGGGGTTTAACCATGTTGGCCAGTCTGGTCTCGAACTCCTGACCTCAGGTGATTCACCTGCCTCGGCCTCCCAAAGTGCTGGGATTACAGGCATGAGCCACCACGCCCAGCCTATTCATTTATTTAAACAGCTTTCTTGAGATGTAATTCACTTACCCATTTAAAGTATACAATTCAATGAGTTTTAGTATATCCACAGATATGAGCAACCATTACCATAGTCAACTTTAGAACATTTCCATCACCTCAAAAGGAAACCCCATACCCTTAGCTATCATTCTTCCCTTCCCCCATCTCTTCCCAGCTCTGCACAACTGCTAATCTATTTTCTGTCTCTATAAAGTTACTTATTCTGGTCATATTATGTCAGTGGAATCATATAAGTGGTTTTCTGTGACTGGCTTCTTTCACTTAGCTTAATATTTTTAAGGTTCATCCATGTAGCATGTGTTGTCAGCACTTCATTCTATAACTGCCCAATACATAGAGCTGATTTATCAAGACAGTAATTGGAATAGAGAGAGTTTAATACATGTAGAGCCAGCTAAACAGGAGACCGGAGTTTTACTGTTACTCAGATCAGCCCCCCTGAACATTTAGAGGCTCAGGATTTTCAGACAGTTTGGCAGGCAGGGCTAGGCTGTGAGTGCTGCTGACTGGTTGGAGTTGCAATTGTAGGAGTGTGGAAAACCATCCTGTGCACTGAGTCTGCTTCTGGGTTGGGGCCACAGAAGAGTTGCTCATCTGGCTAGGGCCAGAAATGTAAAAAACCAAAAATATATTTTAAAAGGCCAGTGTAAGGTGCTACAATGGTGATGTTATTTACGGAAGTAATTGGGGAAGTTGCAAATCTTATGACCTCCAGAATAATGACTGGTAATCATTTAACTATGAACTCAGGCCCCTCTCATCTTCCTAACCTGGTGACCTTTCATTCGTTTTACCAAGGTGGTTTGGTTTAGGGGAAGGGCTATTATTTAAACTGTAAACTAAATTTCTCCCAAAGTGAGCTTTGCCCACGCTCAGGAATGACCAGAGGCAATTTGGAGATTAAAGACAAGATGGAATTTGTGGGCCAGCTCGGTGGCTCACGCCTGTAATCCTAACACTTTGGGAGGCCGAGGCAGGCGGATCATTAGGTCAGGGGATTGAGACCCTCCTGGCCAATATGGTGAAACCCCGTCTCTACTAAAAATACAAAAATTAGCGGGGTGTGGTGGTGCGTGCTTGTAGTCCCAGCTGCTCAGGAGGCTGAGGCAGGAGAATC